CCCCGCCGTGTGGCGCAGCGGCGGGAGCGTTTGTTGGCGGCCCGACGCATGCACCAACGCCCCGGGCGGGGTTGGGGGCGCCGCGCCGCCGCCGCTGCTGACGCTTGTGCCGCTCGTCACTTTGGAGCGCTGCGCATGCGGGTCCTGCATCAGCCAGGACAGACATGGCGCCTCGTGTGTGAGCATGAGCAAGGCATAATCACCATGCACGAAAGCATGCAGGTGGCTGCTGCAGCCGTCCATGACACCCCCAACATCTATCGCTCCGCCCACCCCCACAGGTGCTCACCGAAGGGACGTGCTCAAAAAGCGCCGCCGTCGCGCTGGAGGCTACAGGGGAGTAGTTCGCCCCGATCCGACAAGAGGGAGAGTGGTACGAGGGGTCGCCTCGGTCTCCAAACGGCGCCGCGCGCGTGAAGAGCGCCCGGTCGTTGAGTACTGCCGGCAGCCGCCTGCGCTGCTCTCGAATCTGCGCGCCAGGTATCAGGCGGGAACCCACTGAGCCGCTGACGATTTTGGACAGTCAAAGCTAGCAAGACAATGCCTCAGACGCATGCAGCATCGGCAAGAACTCGTAGCAGAAGCAGCGCCAGCAGCTCCGCCAGCGGCGGCATCGACGGCAGCAGCGGCAGCTGCAGCTGCAGCTGTAGCAGCGGCAGTGACAGTGGTGATGATGGGGATAGCCGCCGCCGCCGCAGCAGCAGCAGCAGCAGCAGCGACAGCAGCAGCAGCAGCAGCAGCAGCAGCAGCAGCAGCAGCAGCAGCAGCAGCAGCAGCAGCAGCAGGAGGTACATTTTGGTCACGCGCAGAGCCCTGAAGCAAAGCTCCGCCGTACCTGCTCCGCCATGCAGTGCTCCTGACTCCTGACAAAGCATGCTTCAAGCTTAGCGTCATGAGTCGCGTGCTCCTCGCATTGGCCATCGCCCGCCTATCACGTGTTGTCAAGAGTTGCGAGGGGAGTGACAGTGACTTATCCAAATGCATCGGCGGCGCATCGCTGCGTGTAGTTGGCAATTGATCAGTCAAGCAATCAGAGGTGTTGCAGCTGTTATCCCTCCTGTGCAAGTATGGCTCTCACCCGCGGCGCGCTGCCTCTCAGGACATCCTGCAGGCTCCACAGCAGAGGTGCGCCAAGCGGCAGGGCGCCCGCACCGAACGGGTCGCGGCTGGCCATACAGCAGCTTTTGACGAAAGAGGTCAGTTTTAATCAAAAGCCTGTCCTTTCGCCCTCATCACTGCAAAAGGCGCGACGATTACAGCTCCAAGATCATCGTATTATGCACTGTTAATTGAGAGCACTAGATTACTGCATCAATATCCACGCAACGACGTGCATGTGCGGTATCACACGTGCTTGCTGCTCGAGATCACTCACATCAAGGTTGACTTATGACTTATCTCGTCCGCTGCTCGTTTCGACATGCCGTACAAGTAATCAGTTCAACATCACTAGTATTGCCGCAGTATGGGTGCATTGGTACATACATCGAACATCGTACCACCGCAATTTTTATGGTGCACTGCACCCCTTCAGCCTGTTTCCCGTAAGCAAATTCCCTCGGCAATCCTCGGGAACTTTGGGCCCCGAGGGAAATTTGCGTTTCCCGAACACCGGGATTCCCCCGGCAATCCTCGGGGATTTCCGGGGACCTCTAGGGGGTCCCCGGGATTCCTCGGGGCCTCGGGAGGCGTTTGAGTTTGTTATTTCTGCATACATGTGATCAGTCACACCCGCAGGCAGCACACATAATTGCACAATTCAAGCAAAGCTGTATGGGAGTGGGCGCGGGTCAAACGGTGCTCTTTCAACAAGCTGCATCAGCTGGCCAGTCCACAAGCATGTATACACATATAATGTATTGCTAGACCTGTTATTGACCGCAAGGTGGCCAGGTCAGCTCGCCAGCCACGAAGGGTCCCCGAGGGGATGGGAAACGCGTGAAATGTTTCACAAAGTGCATGCTTCCCGAAGGACTCCCGAGGGATGAATTGCAAGTCCCCGAGGGATTCTACGGGAAACAGGCTGCTTTGCCCCGACCAGCCGTCCTATCATCCAATTCAACACTGCAGGGGCGTCTCCTTGCTTGATGTGTGTATGAAGCGAGTATTTCAATCAGGGGCTTTAGCCTGCCGCTTGACCTGCACAGCTTACATCGATCCGAATTGCGGCACCTGCCCTCACCCAGCGGACAGGATGTGGTGGAAGCAAGCCAGTGCCACTCGATGAAAAGACTTGAATTTGAAATATGAAGACACAAAAAGGGTCATCTAGCGTGTTGGATTACAGAAAGATGGGGCGCGAATGGCCCGGACGACTGCGGTGCGTCCCGTTTGTCCAGGTAGGGCTCCCGAGATCATATCATGAACAACGCCTTGCCTGCTGCCGTGCGGCCCATTGTGCAGACCACCAACATAGTTGGCAGTGATGGATGGTTGCGAACGCACAATGGCTAGTTGCAGGGATTGGTAGGTCACCCCTGCCAGCAGACAGCCCCACAGGTGTCACTTGAGGGGAAGTCCGGTCGAATGCTTTGTGGCCAGGGGTGACTCATGCAGCGTGCTGTGCTGGTCGGTGCATCGAAATAATTTAGAGGATCTTTTTGCACATACATACGCTACTCGAACTCTCAGGTTTTATCGCGCTGTGGGCCTCGGCGTTGCGATCAGCATTGCCTTACGACGCGGTTAGATTTTAGGTTGTCCGGCGCGTGGCCAAGTAGTGTTGTTGGAAGGCGTGCAGGGAGATCCTTTCTCAAACATACTGCAGCTACCGTATCGACGCGCTTTGGGGAATTGCGCAACTCGCCTCGCCGTGCAGCATACGCATCGACGTCCACCAGCCATGCAGATGTACTCTTCGAACCTGCTACCGCGGCAACGGTGGCAGGCCGCCAATGGAACTACAGCAGGCCGCAGGTATGTTGTGGAGAGATCCGCACGCGACCAAGCACGCCAGCAGAGGAGGCACTCACACCCGCTGTACTGCATTCCATCAGCCGCCGCATGCCCACCACAGCCCTGACCGCGCCTGCCTCGCAACCCCCAGGCTTGCCCGTCCTGCTGCATGCAGCAGCAAGCGTGGCCCGCAGCGGCGTGGCCCCCAAGTCAAGGCATCGGCCGGGACCGCGGCGCCGCCCGACCGCGCGCCCCCGCCCCCTCAAATGCCCGGCGCCCTGCCGATCGTGGTCAGTCAGCGTCCTGGCCCCGCTGGCAGGCGCGCTTTGCCAAGCTTGTGACCGTCAGGCCGATTGATAGCCTCCATCAACCATGCCATGTCAAGCTGGACTCATCCCAAGCACAATGTCCACCGCCACATGCGGCTCTGCGCCAAGCAAACTCAAGCGTCACTGCCGTTACTGCACTCCCCCCTGTCATCGACCGTGACTCACCCCCAAAAGGGCCACCTCTTCAGCCTGACCAGCAACACCACCACCGCCTTCCGCAACCTGGAGCAAGCCATGCGCGCCGCCGACGCCCGCATGATGGGCGTCAGCGTCCTCGGCCGCCGTGAAACGGTCATCCTGCGCCACCCGGACGACTGCGCGGCCGTGTCGCGCGACCAGGAGACTTATGGCAAGGCCAACACGGGGTGGCGCCACCTGGAGAGGTGGCTGGGCCGGGGGCTGGTGGCAGAGTCTGACGTGGCGCACCATGCGGCGGTCAAGGAGGTGCTGCTGCCGGCGTTCAAGGCGGCGTCCGTCAAAGGGTTCGTCCCGCTGTTCGCCGAGGTGCGGCAAGTCAAGGGGGCGGCCCGTCTCCAGCCGCAAGGGCCCGCGGGCGGCGTCTGGCGCCCGTCTGGCGCGGGTGCACGTGCGGGGGCCCGCGGTCGCAATGCAGCTTTGACGCTGTGGCCGCAGAGGCCGAGCAGGGTGTGTGTCCTGTCGAAAGCAGGCGCCGAGGCGGCGCCCCTTGGAGCAACTGCCTTGAGGGACGGCAGACCCGAGCCTGGTACAGGAAATTTGGGTGGCTGCAAATATCCCATCAAATTGCCGATGTCAAACAGGTGGGAGAAGAGCTTGCAGACCTGATAGAGGGGGCGGCTGCCAAGGACCCTTCAAAGGCATACGACGTCCGCAACGCCTGCCGCCGCGCGACCCTGGACGTGATCGGCAAGGCCGCCTTCGGCTTCAACTTCGGGGCGCTCGGGTACGCGGCCGCGCGGCTGCGGGAGGGCCGCGGCGTGGAGGAGGGCGGTGGCGGTGCCGCCGCCGGCAGCGCGGGGGCGGTGACTGACGCGCAGATTGGTAGGTCCTGGAATCGCTTCTGGGTCAGCGCAGCCGCTTTTCTTGGCGCAGGGCATGCACGCTGGCGCTCCCACGGCTCTTGGCTGCAGCCCTTGCTGGCAACTCGGTCTGTTTATGTGCACTGCCAGCCAACCGACTGCGCCCCTTCCGGCCGCGTAGCTCCAGCCCCGCTGGCACGGCCATCGCGCTCACAGAGCAGTGTGCCTCACTCGGCCCGAATGTTTTGGGATCGCCCCAAAACCACTTCATGACAGGCGACGCGGATTGTGACGTCATCGGCATCTTTGACGCCGTCCTCTTCCCCGCCATGATCCTGCTGTTTGAGCTGCCGTTCCCTCAGTTCATGATCCCCGGCATTGATGGTTACTTCAAGGGGATCGAGAAGCTAGACGCTGTGATCGCCAAGATCATCGCCGTGAGTGATCTGACTTGAAGCGCAGATCTGAGCACAAACCATGGCTCTCTGACGGCGCGTGCCGCGCGCCTGCCAACCACTGGTTATGGCCTTTCCCAGGCGTGCGACGCCCTGCCAATCATTACCCATTTAGACCCACTGCAAGCGGCTCGGGGAGCTGCGTCGGCGCAATTCTATACCCATCAATTGCACCTCTTGATTGACTCTCGTGCACCCCGCAGGCCAAGCGCGTGGGCGGTCCAGCTGCCCTGGAGGGCGGCGACATCCTGTCTTTCATGCTCAAGGCCCAGGCAGCTGGCAATGACGTCATCACCGACAAGCAGATCAGGGACGAGCTGCAGGTCTTCACCTTGGCTGGCAGTGGTGAGCGGCGCAAGTGTCATGCTTATTGCGGAGCGACTTGGTGCAAGTTGTACAACATCCACTGCAGAAGCGCTGGCGCAGGAGAGCGCTCATGCATCTTCCCACTCACGTGCATGTGTGGCAAGACAAAATACAAATGTGCCTGCCTTACGGCCCCAATTGTGATCCCGCTCTCCTCGGGCAGATACAACCGCAGCTACCCTATCCTTTGCGCTGTACGAGCTGAGTCGCCACCCGGAAGTCCAAGAGGCGTGCGCCGCCGAGGCAGCCGCCCTGCTTGGTGACGGCCCGTCCCGCGGCGCGTCTTCGGCGGCGCTGCAGTCTCAGATGCCGATGCTGACAGCTGTCATCAACGAGACGCTGCGGCTGTACCCAGCCGCCACCGAGGTGCGCGCAGACTGCATCGCCGGCCAGCATCAGCTTCCCCTGTGACATAGTGCCACTGCCGCGTGATTGGTTGTGATAGGCTTTCCATATTTGCAGATGCTGTCTGCCTGTCTTGGCCGTCCATATCGACTAGGGACACGCAGTCTGAGGCTGCTAATGGGAGGCATGGCGCCCTGGCCGTTGGACGCCTGTCTTGCAGTCCTGCTCGGCCTGGACGTAGTGAGCCTGCCTCCTTCACCAGCCTCAGCCCCCCCGCCACGCACGCACACACACACACACACGCACGCACACACACATACACACACACGCACAAACACAAACACAAACACAAACACACACACACACATGTATGCATAAGCTCTCGCACGCTGCTGCACGACCGCCCCTCACGCTCGCCTCCCTGCACGCCGCCCGCAGTACGTGCGCTGCACCACGAAAGACGTGGTCCTGGGCGGCTACGCCATAAAGGCCGGCAGCTTCGTGCTACCCAGCCCCTACAGCACGCAGCGCCACCCCGACTACTGGCCGCGCCCGGACGAATGGCTGCCCGAGCGATGGCTGCCGCAAAACGCGAAGGAGCTGGCGCCGCACGCCGACAAGGCGTGGTGCGTGCGCGCCGTCTGCCGCGGGCGCCGGCTGACGCAGCTGCCTGCCCTGTGCTCGCGCCCAAGCGCGACCGCTCGCGCCAAGCTGCCTCGCGTAATCCCCCCAACTGCCCCCGCACGGGGTCCGCTCGGCGGCCCACGAGACGCAACCGTGTGGCGGAACGAACACCTGCTGCCCTGATCACCCTCACCCGCAGGTTCCCGTTCGCCCAGGGCCCCAGGGCCTGCATCGGTCGCTACTTCTCAGTCCTAGAGCTGCAGACCATCCTGGCGGTCTTGCTGCGGCGGCTGCGGTTCGGGCGCGTGGAGGGGTACGACGCGGTGACCTGCGAGAACTTCACGCTGTCCACAGTGGACGGCGCGTTGGTGCTGCCCGCCACGCGGGCGCGGTAGCGCCGCCGGGGCCGCGGCGCGGCGCCGTGGCGCCGCGTGTGGTTGCACGGCAGAGCCAGGACATGGAAACTTGTTGAGACTGGGATGCCTGAAGGAAATGTATCGCGGAGGAGCCCAGCGTCTTTGCAGGATTTCTTGTGCTTGTCGTGAGGGGGGAGTCTCTCAAAGTTGCAGCGCGCCTTGCCAAGGCGGCCCTGTGGCAGTGGCCGTGCAGCAGTGCAGACTCACATGACAGGCCGGTGTTTGCGGCAGTCGGCCGGCGGCAGCGCATGATCCTCGGCGTGTGCTGCCTGTCAGGGCCAGGGTGTTAAGAGGCTGCAATTACCTACTGGGTGGCCCAGCGCCCCTTGCGCACCGACGCCCGTTGTGCCCTACAATAGCGCAAAGGGATACCGCAACTAGTTGCGTTGAGTTTTTTCAAAAGTCACCAGACTCTCTGCTCATGGGTTGTTCCAGCTGCACCACCTCGCTCTCGCTTCTGGTGGGTCTGGCGGGGCGCCCACCACGCACACCGCAAGCCCCAGGATTAGGGTGCTGCTCCGTGTCACTTCGCCCGAAGAGACTCAGCATGTGTGGGTTATTGGAATGCAGCCTCGGGCACCAGATTAGTGCACGCCACACTCTGGGGCCCTGAAAGCTGGTGCAGGCGGCTTGCAAGAGTGTAGCTTCTTGAGGTGGGAAGTGGCGGGTGCCAGGAGCATCACAGCGACTTGTTCAGAGCTGGCGAGGGATGAACATGTGTAGTGTTACATCGAAGAACTTGTTGAAATACTCTACAAAATGCAGGGACCAACGCTGCTCTAAGCAGGGTTCTCCAGATGCATGGGCGGTGTGAAGGGTCAAGACGGAGGATTTGGGCAAATCCGCATGCAAGCAGTGACTTGGGTCAATGGGGCCAGGACCGCCGCATGCATGCGTGGGGCAGGTGCGGTGATGGTTGTCTGCAAGTAATGTATAGATGTTGTGTGGGCTTGTTGTGGTGGCGGTTTGAGCGTGTGGTTGGGAGCAAGTTGGTGGCGGGGTGCATAGGAGGTCCTCGCACTGAAATGGCCCCTGTGGGACATCCAGGTGGCGGGGTGATGGCGGGCGAAGTGATCGGTGTAAAACTTGCAGTGAGTTGTACATGTATAAATGCAACTCTTACCTGGCATGTCGCCTGCCCTCGGCACTGTGAAGCCGCCGAGCCCTTGCGACAAATGCGCGCCAGCAGTGCAGGTGGGAACGACGAGCAAAACCCGAGTCTGGGGCGGGTGGCGGCAGGTAACGTGTAAGAGGAGGGGTGCGGCCATGGATGTACCGGGCACCTGAAGCACGGCGGGTGAGCCGCAGCTCGCAGCCCCCTGACTGGTACGCACGGCGGGGCGAGAGAAGGACGACCAGTTGGAGGAAGGCTGCGAGGTGCAGGCGGCGCGGTTTCCCCTGCCGAGTTCCCTTGCTGCTCCTGCAGCAGGCGATTGATAGAAAATGTTATGATTCTCCGCATGCCATGCCTGTCGTCCATCTGCAGGCCTCTGCCTGATCCATTTTGCATCCGGAACTTGTGCAGATGACTAACATGTGGCGCCAGGACGGCGCGAAATCCTGAGGCCAGAGTTACGGGGCGCATGGCGAGGGCGGGGATAGGGCAATCGCTCCGCCGAAAATGTGTTTGCGATGAAATTTTAGACACGCACACAGCATTTCTAACAGCTACACCAGTTCCGCCCGCGTCTTCCCCCCATTCTTCACTTGCACTCTCTCGTTCCGCCCGGTGTCAAGGACCCGCCCGACATCCTGATAGATCGAAAGTAACAAGACTGGCTCTGCGGGTGCTTATACCCACCAGGCGTATCGTATCGTTGTCACTGTCGAGGCCACATCACGCACGGCGTGTTCCGACTCGCACTAAACGGGGTCCGACACTGTCATAAAGCCAGCTAATGGGGACCTGTCTATCGACACCCGCCACTGCGGCCCCGGCGGCAACACTGTCAGGGCAGGCAGGCCATGCAGCCTCCAAGGGGCTGACCGCAGACGGCAAATCTGGCCTGTGGCAGCCCGGGCCTCTTGCCACCTATAGCAGCAGCAGCGGCATGTCACGTGATAGCAACTGTAGTGAGGATGCCCGCGCCGCGGTGCAGCAGCAGGGCAGCAATAAGGACGGACAGCTCGAGGCGGCGGCAGCGGTGCAGCAGCAGCAGCAGCAGCAGCAGGTGGCGGGCCAGGCGGCGGCGCGCGCGCTCGACCTCCTAAAACGGGTGCGGATCTGGCGCTGACTCGCATTACTGGCGTGCTACATGCGACGCTGTGTGTTTTGCAGGGCGAAACAGCGGCTTGCGGCCAGGGATTTGGTGATCTGACGCGACAGTCCTGTTTTGGAGCCTGCAGCAAATGCAAGTTCGCGCCCGTGTTCACCCCCGCGCGCGGCCGCCCCCCGCCGGCCGCGCCCGCGCCGTTCCGCCCCACATGCGCCCAGATGGGCCCCCAGACCCCATCCAGCCCCTGCCGCGGCAAGCCCAGCCGCCTGGCCGCCCGCCTCAGCGATTTGCCAATCTTGCCAGCGCAGACGGGCGCACGTATCCAACCACCCCAACCGCGCGCGCGCGCGCGTTTGACCGCGGCAACCCCGCCCTGCGACGCAGGTGCACGAGCTGCAGCAGCAGCTGGCGCTGGTCAGCGGCGGGCCCCTGTTGGGCCTGCCAAACGCGGCAGACCTCATCTGCGACCAGATGGGCGCCGACCTTGTTGCGTGAGTGGTCCACGGCGGCCCAGCCTTTGGGCTAGGCGCTTGGAGCAGTAGAGATGCACGACCGCGTCCGTGCATTCGATGCCCGTGGCGCGTCCGGCATGAATTTATTACTACTTGAGTGCATGCCTTGCACCAATCCCCAAAGTCAGCGTTGCTCTGTGATCACTGTGTGTGATGCACCTTGAATACCCCCATCCCGCCAACACTTGTGGACCGCAGCCTGTGGGTGGTGAGCAGCGACGACCCCACCTGCTCGGTGCTGCTGGCGACCAGCGGCGACGACGCCGCGGCCGAGCTCGAGCGGCGTGTCACGCACCGCCCCGGCGGCGGGCCTGTAGGGCAGCGCGGCGCGGTGCTGGGCTGCGGGTGCGATCTGGTGCTCGCCGATGCCGCGTCCCCCCAGGTGCGGCCCGCCTCCCCGGCCTCCTGGCCCTTGCCGCACGCCCGTCCAGCCATAAGCGCGGCCGCCTCGGCTTTGCTGCAATGTCAACCATCCACCGACGCCGGCGCTGCTGGCGCGGCCTGATCAAAATTGCCCCGTTCCCGCGCACTCGCACCACCTGATCCGTGCACCCCTCCACCTTCCCGCCCTCCCCTGCACCCAGGAGGTCCCCCGCGACGTCGCGGCGCTGAGTCAGCGCTCCGGCCTCCGCAGCTTCGCCCAGGTCCCCATCGGCCCGCCGTCCGCCCCGCTTGGCTGCCTCTTGATCGCGAAGGCGGCGCCCGGCGGCTTCGTGGCGGGCGGGGAGTGGGAGGTCTGGGCGCACGCGGCGTCGATGGGGCTGCTGCAGCATGTGAGGGACGCGCAGGTTCAGCAAATCGTCAACCTCCTCCGCGCCATGCACGGCCACGACAGCCCGACGGCCCTCATCGGCGTGCTTCTCAGGGTGCGCCGCGCCGCGCCGCGCCGCCGTTGAAATTTGCTCGTGTTGGTGCTGTGTGTATTGGTCCGTCGCGGCCGCTCAGACCTGATCACCATGATGCGTCTAAAGAACAACCCGCCGCGGCCGCCGTGCCCGTGCCACTTGATGGGATCAGGGCGCCGCCCGCTACATACAGAAGGCCACCGGGGTGCGCCTGGCGGTGCGCCTCGCGCTGCTGCAAAAGTCGGGCGCCGACGCGCTGCTTTTCGAGCTGCCGCGCGCCGATTCGCTGACAGGCGCCGCCCCCGGTGCGAGCGCGGGCGCCGGCGGCGGCAGCGTGGGCGGGCGGGTGACCGTCAGCCAGATCGGCCTCGCGGGGACGCTGCTCGCGTCTGCAATCGTCGAGCGCAAGGCGCGGTTCGTCAAGGACTGCAGCAGATACATGCAGGTGCGCCGCCAGCCGGCCTGGCCCGGCTCGCACCCGCGCGGGCCCTGCTCTGCGGGTTGAGCTTTTCAATGCAGAGGCATCGGCTGCGAGGCTTATGCGCTTGCTTGGCATTGCAAACTTACCAAACTGCACACTTCAGATGCGCACGCACAAACACACGCACGCACACGCACGCACGCGCACACACACACACACACACACACACACACACACACACACACACACACGTGGCCTCTAACCCCCCAGAGCTGCTTCAAGATGGCCACCGACATCTTCAGCCGCTCCTCCGACCTCGTCGCCTCCATCGTGGTGGTCCCGCTGCTGGTGGAGGGCCGCGCCCTGGGCGGCATGTACTTCGCCCTCGACTCACCCTGCTCATTCGAGGACATGCAAGACGCCCTGCTGGTGGGTAGCCGCACACGTACCTGCTGATGGGTGGTTTCGTTCCCGGCGCCTGCCAGCAACCCGGCCAAAGGGGATTTATGGACGGGTTGCACTTGGAAGGCATGCAGCCACGATCACGGGTCTCCGCGGCCGCTCCAAGACCCTCCCCGCCGTGGTGTGATTTGCCTATCAGTTGCCGACCTTGCTTGTACGCATGGCCCCTTTTCATTCTTGCGCAGGGCCTGGTGCATGCGGTGACAAACACGCTGGCCACGGAACTGGCCGACCGCATCGACGAGCTCACAACCGAGACGGCGGCGCGGGTGAGGGGCCAGATCCTTTGTCGGCTTCATTGGGTAGCTGCAGCCGAGTCAGCACAACACGTAGCACGGCGACACTGCGCCATGTGGTGCCGCCGCCGCCGACCGCGCACGCGTTATTGCCAGCATTTGTGTGCAGGCGTCACCGCTGCCGGCTGCCAATGCGGGCGCGACCACACCACCCGGCTTGCTTGCGATGCCTGCGCCTCACTTCTTTGTTCCCTTCACCCACCTTCCGCAGCGCGCTCGTGGCAGCAGCTCAGGGCTCCTGCTGTCCTCGGGCTCCTGCGCCCAGGGCCTGGCGGACGGCGGGGCGCTCAGCAGCGGCTCCCTCTCGTCCGGCTCCGCCGCGGGCCCCATCCTCCGGCAGCCCTCGAGCATCGTGTCCGCCAGCGGCGCCAGCCACCGCCTGAACACAGAAGCCATGCTGCAGGTGAGCGCCGGGTCCACGCACGCTCACCGCTGGTCAACGGCCGCGACAAGTTGCCCGTGGATTGCGATTCGCTGCGCACGGCTGTGTACTGTATGTAAGCCGCCTCCTGTAGGTTTACGCACTGGGCCGCAGAATCTGCACATAACCAGGTCGCCGGGGTTGTTGAGCACCTGCCCTGACGCTCCCGCCCCGCAGGTGCTGCAGCAGGAGGTGCGCAAGAACTGGCGGCGCGGGTCAGAGATGCGCTACCTGCGGGAGCTGACCCTGGCTGAGTGCATCGGACAGGGCGGTGGGTGGCGGCCCAAGGCCGCTCATGTGTCCTTTTCTGCACATGCACGTGCCCATAATCACATGCGCGCACCCAACCCCCACCGCATCCACAAACACAAACACACGGGCATGCTTAGCTTGGCATTTGTCTGATGGCAGAGCAGAACAGGAGCGTGAAGACAACCTGCCATTTCACACATGCTCAAGGGCGCGAACCTCCCACAACCTCTCTAATGATTCGACAGGGTTTGGGGCGGTCTACCGCGGCACGTGGCACAAGGCAACTGCCGCCATCAAGGTCATGCAGGCCCGCAAGAATGAGCACGAGGTGTGTGCGTCAAACACGCTTTGTAACGAGCATGTTACCGGCTGCTGCTGCTGCTGCTGCTTCTCCCTTGTGTGTCTTGCTTACGAGCAACTGCTTCCTAGGAGCAATCTCGACCGATTAGACTCGCCACTCGAACCTGTAGCGCACTTGCCACTGCACCGGAGGCAATCCCCTCCACGGTCTTTAGGTTGCGCACTGGGCTCACAAGACCTAAACCCTCGCCAACCTCTGCCTCGGCCCCATGCCCCAGGCCATGAAGGACGCGGTGGAGATGGCGGTGCTCTCCAGTGTGCAGCACCCCAACATCGTCACGGTCTACTCCTGCCTCACAGACATGGTCGAGATGACAGGCAAGCATACGTGTGTGTGTGTGTGTGTGTGCGTGTGTGTGAGCATGTGTGGTTGTGTGGTTGTGTGTGTGTGTGTCCGTGTGTGATTGCGTGTGTGCTTGCGTATGTGATTGTGTGTGTGTGTGTGTGTGTGTGTGTGTGCCAAGCTGCTCATGTGCCAAGCTGCAGCTGTCCCTTGTGCATTGAATATTCCGTGCTCCACACCAACGGGACGCGGCCACTGAACCCCTCCACGATCCCGCCCCCCTCCCCCAGACGTGGAGGCCAGCCTCAGCGGCAGCGGCGCCATGGACTGCCTGCGGCTGCGCTTCCGGCGTCTGCAGCCCGACGAGGAGACGGACGACAGCGTCGCCACGTGCAACCTCCTCGTCATGGAGGTGGGCCCTGGGTTTGACCGCACGCAATCCTTGCACTGCATGGTGCCTGATGAGGATTTCAGGGGTCAAGGCCAAGCCAGGAAAAGGCTGCTTGCGGCAGGTCCTGGCTCTTTGGCTTCTGGATGCAATTTGAGATTCCTCACAAACTGCGAGTTGCGTGGGATTCAAGAAGCTGCTTGGCAGGAAGCTCTGGGCACACCTGCATCGAGGCCGCCCCTGCCACCTGTGCGGCACGGCACCCTTGTCCACAATCATCCTTCTTCCCTCTCACTGCCCCCTCCCTCTCGCTGCCGTGTTCCTTCAGTTCTGCGACCGCGGCACGCTGCGTGAGGCTGTGCGCGCCGGGCGGTTCCACCGCGCCATCCACGGCGGCGCCATTGGGGTCGACATCCTCGCAGCAATTGAGGTGCGCCTCACCTCATCCCATTTCCCTCCGCTCTCGCTCTCACACGCTAGATCAGCTTCCTCACTTTTTTTGACTTGCCGTTGTTCCATCACCCCCCCCCCCCAGCTCTCAACTGCACATGCAAGCACATAGTCCCGTCTCCCACTCGGCCCTCAGCCGCTGCGAGAGCAGTAATAATGCTATGCCCACATGCATGCCGCCCCACTCCGACCCCTTTGTTGTGCCGCCATTGAGTGCCACCCAGACCAGCCGACGGTTGCAGGCTGCTCCATCAATGGTACCACAACACCACACTGCATCATAACATGTTTTGCACGACCTCAAACATCCTGCACCACCTCATCGTCCCGCCAACGTTGTCGTTTGTTTGTGGCCAGGTGCTCCTTGACGTGGCTTATGCCATGCAGTACCTCCACTCGCTGCAGCTGGTGCACGGGGACATCAAGGTGTGCGGTGGGGCTGGTGTCGTCTGTGTATGTGCGTGCACGCATGTATGCATGTAAGAATGAGTGTACGCACGTGTATGTGTGTGTTGGTTCGCATGCCTTTCCGTGTTGTAGCGTCTCCTTGTCGCCGATCAAGATGTTCAACACAGCCACCACTATCTTGCCTCTCGGTGGTCTCCACACCTCACTGACCCTCTCCCTTGTTCCCGTCTGCCGGCCATCATCTGTGTCATTCGTGGCCCCACAAAACAGATGGACAATGTCCTGCTCAAGAGTGACCCCTCGCGGCCCCGAGGTGTGACCTACAAGGTGTGTAGAGGCTACTATTACTGTTGACACAAGCAACCAACCAACCAACCGACCAACTACCGAACCAATGACAGCCACGGCCCCAGCCATGCACCCATGCGTTTGTGCTCGCTTCCCACATGCTTCTCTTGTGCTGCCCGCTCCCGCCACCCACGCGCTTGCGGCCCGGTTTGCTTTTCCCCTCAGCCGACAGCTCTTCGCGAACTCGCATCCCCAGGCTTTTGCCTAAGTATCCCCACCAAAACCCCAACAATCGCGCAGCTGGCGGACTTTGGCCTGACTAAGATCCTAAATGAGTCTGAGTCAGCCATCAACCTGGATGGAGCCGGCACCGTCACCCACCTTGCGCCAGGTAAACCCGCACGCCCACTCCCATCTTTCTCCGCGCTCCGCCCACCCCCGCTCTGCCGCGCCCCACAAGCATCATTTGGCCCACGACCCTGGGCCCCTCTGCACGCCCAAAGCGCATCTCAGCCGCTCACCTTGACCTGGGTTCAATGACATCATGGCAGCCGATGACGTCACCTGCCGTCATCTGCCGTCCCCCTACCTGCTCACGCAGAGATGTTTGAGGCCGGCTCCAGGGTGACCCGCGCCGTGGATGCCTACGCTTTCGGTGAGTCATTGCATTGGATTTGGTACCGCCCATTGGTACCGCCTGAGGCTGAGGCTGAGAAGTTTGAGGGACGCATGTCGCTTCTTGAGCCCCAGGAGCCGGCTGCGTGCGCCTGTGCGCCAGCCCAGGCGCTGCGCCTGCCCCCAGCAGAGGCTACCGGCCGGGCAGCCCCTTGTTGGCCGGGGATGCCAGGATGCTGACCCGCCCGAGTCTCACTCTTGAGACGAGGCTGCAACATATCCTCATCTGACTACGCCCATGACTCATCCCATGACTCATCCCCCCAGGCATATTCATGTACGAGCTCTATGCCAGGAGGGCCGCTCACTATGGTGAGGGCGCGGGGTCACTGCGCCCCAGCAAGGGTGTAGCGACCAACCGCCTCAAGCACGTGTTTGGCTCGCGTTGCACTCAGCATTGGGTTGCGGCTTGGGCTCTCTCTGCGTTCTTGGGGCGCCGCACTTCGCTGTTTGGCACTGCTGGCTCTTGGCAGCCCCGCCTGCGACTGAGACGATTCATGCATGTTGGTGCGCCGAGCGCACCCCCAGCCACCAACCGCTGACCATCAAACCTGAACACCCGGACCCACCGCAGGCCTGCAGCATCCCATGATCATCGATCGCGTCGTGAACCACGGCGCGCGCCCGGCCTTCCCCGCCGGCTCGCCACGCGCGTACGCGGCTCTGGCGGAGGAGTGCTGGCGGGCCGAGCCGGCGGCCCGGCCGACGTTTGCCCAGATTGCTGAGCGGCTCGAGGCACTGGCCGCGGCGATCGCCGCACCCGCCGCGGCGCCCGCACCCACACTTGCGGCAACCGCGGCCGCCCTTGGGGTGGCGACGATGGCCGCTGCGCCGAGGGCGTAGGCGGCGGCTGCAGCTGCAGCCTCGCCGCGTGCGGCTGCCATGGCGGCGCTTTGATTGGGCGGTCGCGCCGTGCCGCGATTTTCGGCCGTTTCATACCACATCATTGGCGCTTTGGTCTCGCACGATTGCGGGTGTTGTCTGTGCACCCTTTCTTCTGAGCACTCTCGACCCCAGCCAAAATCTGTGGGCATCCAGGTGGAGCGCAAATTGGCCCAGGGAATGGCCTCAAGGGGGTGGGCGGTGCCGCCGCCGCCGCTGCCGCCGCCGCCCCACTACCGGAGCCCGCACGCGCTGCGCGCCGTGCGATCGCCCGATTAGCAAGGCCACCGCCGCCGCCGCCATCGGCTGCGGCTGCGGCGCGGTCGCATCCGTTTGTTGCCCGAGCCGCACTGCGATCTCCCATTTCCGTTGTCATCTGCCGGCGCATGCCAGGCATGCGGACGGTGCGCCGCGCGCCCGGCCCCGCCTGCGCTGTTTGTTGGTCAAAGTACAGGGGATACATATGGGAATGTCTGGCGCGCTTGCTATGCTATCGAGACGCACGGACGGCTTTCAGCGGCCAACTGCGGCACCCGATCGCCGCCAACTGCACGTCCGGACCCGGAAACCTCCGCGGACCAGCCCAATTTCAACCGCACTCTGTGCCGGCCGCGGCCTGGCGAATGCGCCCGCCCACACCCAGTCGCGCCGGCCGAAACCCGAGCCAAACCCCAAAAGGCGCCCGCCACAATGGCGCCGCACCCCTGAACACCTTGCTTGCACCAGCCCTTTCGAGGCAGTCGGCGGGCCCCGTCCGCTGTGCCCGCGCCTGCGCCATCGCGGGGCCCGCGGCTGCCTCGCTCCCTTAGCTCCTCAACCCCCCTCCCTCCCCAGCCGACGGGCCGCCCGCTGGCCCCGCCGGCGGGAGCGGTCGAAACCATCACTGCGCCTGAGAACTTCCCTCGGCGGCTGCGCGCCGTTCGAACATGCCTGGCGGCCTCTGCAACCCCCGGTGCATGCGGCCGCGCGGCCCTTGCACGGCTCCCGCCCCGGCCCGCCCAATCTCATGGAAGGCGGAAGCGCCCCGTACTCACGGGCGTTGCGGGGCGACCGCGAGCTCGGCTAGGTCATGCACTTATCACGCTCGTGAGATGCATCAGGGCGGCTGGCTGCCGGCCAGGTTGCAACGAGTGCGCCGTTGCACCTGGCGATTACGCATTGCCCACAGCTTCTGCTAATGCCAACAACTGCTCTTGCACACACTGGCGGGCTTGCAGACCCATCCGAATCCGAACCGCGCGAGCGCCTCTCTTCCCATGAGCCCTTCACTCCCAGGCCGCCGCCGCGCGGCGCAGCACCACTCCGGGCACTGGCCCTGCGCTGCGCCCCGGGGCCCGCTGCGCGGCACGGCGCGGCACTGAGCGGCCCAGCGCGGCACTCCTCAGCACGCGTGCGGTCCTCGGACCCCTCCGCGCACGTCGATCTGCTGCAGGCGCCCGCGCGCTATCAACGCATGCGATGTCAATCCTTAGGTCGGTTTGGGCCAGCGCCCGCCGCGGCCTGCCGCTGAGCGCAGGCGGCCCGTCGGGTTTTGGCCCCACCACTCGAATCATGGCCAGTTCTGGGGAGTTGTCCCAGCTGGCATCAAATCTGTCCGTGCTTTCGTCTGTCTCGCGCCTCTGTCTTTGGTGCTTTCCAGTCCGACCCACGCCGCCTTCCCTGGGCGCGAGCCTTAGGCGCTGGCCACTGCAGGGCGAAAGGCCCCAATAGTTGCGCCGCCGCAGGCCCCCGCAACCCCTGCCTGCCCCCCCATCTGCCTGCCGCCCCGCCCTCACCGCGGGCGCCGCCGCCGCCGGCCTGGTTCAACCAGGCGCGCGGCTCGTGGCGCTCGGCCGATGCTAGAATTCCCCAGATTATGCGCCGGCAGGCCCGAACGGGCCCCTCGCCGCGCGTCCCCTTTTTTACTTCCTCGGGTCCGCTGCAAAGGCGCCCGCTCGCCAGCCGGCGGCTCTGAAAGCCCCACCTGCCTGAGGCGCGCTCGTGGGTTCCTTTCCATCTGCGTCGATTCCCGCACGCGCGCGTGCGAGCATTGTGAGTCTTCCTCAGCGTGTCGCCGCGGCCGCTGCGCCGCTTTCAAGCACTTATCCGTGCACGCACACCTGCAAGGGGGTTGATCGATTGATGGTTGCGTGGCGCACGCCCGAACAATCACACAAACACCAGAATCTGCGAGCGGACACTGGGACGCCCGACGGCCCCCATCCCTCTGCTGCCACGACGCTATTGCCGGCCGTTCGCTGAGCGCGTGTTGCGCGCGCGGCGGGCGCTGACCTCATGTGGCTTGTCTTGACCGGGAGGCTGGCAGGGCGCACCAGGGGGTATTTTGGGGGATCGCCCCTGTCGTTTTGCGCATCCGATCCCGCCCAACGCGCCGCCACCCACGCTCCATCGTATCCGAGGTGCAATCACCACCGGGTTGGAGTTGCACGTCCGTGACGGTCGAGGACAAGATGTGCGCAGCCGCGTTGCCAACCGCAGCGGTTGGCAACGCTGCGGCTAAGAGCTATGGGTACTCGTTAGCACTGTCTCTCTTTCACGTTGATCACACTCTTTGGCCCTGCACTTGCCCCGCAAAACACACAAATGCACACGCACGCAAACACACATCATGCACACACACACACTCGCACAGTCGCCGCAACGTAGTCCTCCTGTCAGGCGGCGGACCATCAATCGCCCACGCCCCCCATCCACTGCTCTCTCGGGCACCAGCCTGCAGGCCCCGCGACAAGGATTACTGGCTGTGCGCTGCGGTCACGCGTCACGTGCACCTGCCACGTGTTGCACACCGCTGCCTTGGGAAACACCAACACTCCGCACGCATCATGTGCGCAACGCGCCGCCAAGTTGTTTAAGCGGTTTGCTAGCCTCCGCGCCTGATTCACGCCTGCCTGATTGGGGCGCGACCACGGGCATCGGCGTGAACCCAGGCGGCTGAGCTTGCGGCGGCATCCCAAGCTGCCAGGCAACTGCACCTGCAGCGCAGACTGGGCCCGCTTTTTGAATTTGCACATGTCAATGCATTGAGACTGAGCATCACCCCCTTCAAGCGCTGCTCGTCAGCCCTGCCCCATCCGCCCTTCTGGCGCCCCCCCCATCCGTCCGACCTCCGAACGCGCGCCGCCCGCCAGGCGGCCACGCCGCCTTTTGCAGCCACTATGGGTTTGCAGGTCCTTTCTGCTGGGTGTGCTGCCGTACGAGCCCCCGCCTCGGCCGCTGCCCTTGAGTACTTCCTGCCGGCCCTCGAGTTGCTTCCACGTTCAAAACCCCGTAGATACATCGGCGGCCTTTATGCGTGCCGCATCACACACCTGCCTAGCAAAGGGGCCCCAGTTATGGCTCCCATCTGTCCATGGCGACGCCGCCCCACCGCCTAGTGGCAGGGGTTGGTGGCGACCCCGGCCCTACCCGCCCGCGGGGCGCCTGCATCCCCCATGTTGCCAGGAACCTCGCGCACCTGTTGGCCGATGAACGCATGCCTGCTCGCCGGCAATTCAGCTCCCGCAACAAGTTGCGGTTCACAAACACCTGCCAGCAAACTCTTCTCCACCCACATACCTCTAGGAATCAAATATGTTGTGGTACCTGTAATTTATGTCGATAATTCAGATGGATTCAAGGGCCTTCAATGGTTGCCTGCTTATCCAACAGCCCCATCGAGCAAACATGTCTGCTGCAGTGGCGGTGCTGCACGGGCACAGTGGGTGGTGTATTACATGAGTCGCCAGCTCCCATCAGCAACAAGTGATGACCACATCGTGCAAGCAGCCTGTGCAAGCCGCCAAGTACCTCTTATGTTGACCCGCCTTCCACTAAATTTGTGCTCGTGCAGACGTGCAAGACACATGCAAATGTGTGAACATGCAGTAGATACTCAATAGCACACACACACACACACACACACACACACATGTACACACACACATGTACACACAAACACGTGTACACACAAACACATCTACACACCGACTCACATCTAGATAGATAGATAAG